TGTATGATACAGCTGCAAATAAGTATATGAACACCTGTCTATCAGCTAGAATTGTGACTCTCAAAGACCTGTTAGTCTGCCTTCAAAATGTCCACCTCCACTCCATTTATTATCCTAAATTAGATGCACCTGTTTGAGGTCGTTAGCTGCATAAAGACACCTGTCCACCCCATACAATCAGTGAGAATCCAACTACTAACATGGCCAAGACCAAAGAGCTGTCCAAAGACACTAGAGACAAAATTGTACACCTCCACAAGGCTGGAAAGGGCTACGGGGAAACTGCCAAGCAGCTTGGTGAAAAAAGGTCCACTGTTGGAGCAATCATTAGAAAATGGAAGAAGCTAAACATGACTGTCAATCTCCCTCGGACCGGGGCTCCATGCAAGATCTCACCTCGTGGGGTCTCAATGATCCTAAGAAAGGTGAGAAATCAGCCCAGAACTACACGGGAGGAGCTGGTCAATGACCTGAAAAGAGCTGGGACCACCGTTTCCAAGGTTACTGTTGGTAATACACCAAGACGTCATGGTTTGAAATCACGCATGGCACGGAAGGTTCCCCTGCTTAAACCAGCACATGTCAAGGCCCGTCTTCAGTTTGATCCAGAGGAGTCATGGGAGAAAGTCATGTGGTCAGATGAGACCAAAATAGAAGTTTTTGGTCATAATTCCACTAACCGTGTTTGGAGGAAGAAGAATGATGAGTACCATCCCAAGAACACCATCCCTCCTGTGAAGCATGGGGGTGGTAGCATCATGCTTTGGGGGTGTGTTTCTGCACATGGGACAGGGCGACTGCACTGTATTAAGGAGAGGATGACCGGGGCCATGTATGCCAATTTTCCCTCAGTTAGAGCACTGAAGATGGGTCGAGGCCGGGTCTTCCAACATGACAATGACCCGAAGCACACAGCCAGGATAACCAAGGAGCGGCTCTGTAAGAAGCATATCAAGGTTCTGGCGTGGCCTAGCCAGTCTCCAGACCTGAACCCAATAGAGAATCTTTGGAGGGAGCTCAAACTCCGTGTTTCTCAGCGACAGCCCAGAAACCTGACTGATCTAGAGAAGATCTGTGTGGAGGAGTGGGCCAAAATCCCTCCTGCAGTGCAAACCTGGTGAAAAACTACAGGAAACGTTTGACCTCTGTACTGCAAACAAAGGCTACTGTACCAAATATTAACATTGATTTTCTCAGGTGTTCAAATACTTATTTGCAGCTGTATCATACAAATAAATAGTTAAAAAATCATACATTGTGATTTCTGGTTTTTTTTTTTTTTTAGATTCTGTCTCTCACAGTGGACATGCACCTACGATGACAATTTCAGACCCCCCCATGATTTCTAAATGGGATAACTTGCAAAATAGCAGGGTGTTCAAATACTTATTTTCCTCACTGTACATTTATCTTGTCAGGGTTCTGCTAAATAAATTTAATGTAAATTTAATTTTGTTTATGTTTCTTTGTCTGAAAAACTGCAGAAATAAGCCTCAACCCCTCCTTGGTGTCTCCAATAATGTCAGGCTCTTGTTTCATTCTGCTAAATTAATGTTATGTAATGAAACCTGAATGAAATAAATGTGGTCTTTGTCACACAGCCAGTCTTAATCAGTAACCGAAGCAGAGAACTGCTGCTGCACTTGTAACTTTTCAGGCTGCCACCTGGAGCAGTATGACAAAACGTACTGTATGTATTACTAAAACCTTTGCATCAGAATTTGGGGATATAAAGCTTATTTTGATCTGTTGATATACTTAATCATCTGATTTGATGTTGTTGAAGCTGCAATGATCCACTTGGGTGCAGAAGATTAGCTAATCCTTTATTGATGGCGTTACAGCAGCACAAAGACCTTATATCTGTCTTTGTGCTGCTGTAACAGATAAATACATAAACTTAAAATAATAATAATAAATTATAAGTGTATAAAATAAATATAGGAATAGAATAAAATAGAAACTCTAAACGAGTAAGTAACCAAACTTACAGTTAATAGCAGTAAACATGTGATACCCACAGCTACATAAACTGAAGACTGTCCCAAGCAAAGTGACAATACACATAGGAGTAATATGATGCTGTCAGCTATGACATGATACACCAGAATATTATATAATATGGTTATGTAATTATACTTTCAGCTGTCTGTATTAATAATATCAAGATAAAAATATATAAATAAAGATGTGATTATGCAATAAAGCTGCACCATCTCTGCCATATTATCACCTTAAAGTAGTTGTGGCTGATCTGTGGGCAAACAGCTGACTACATCCAGCACAGAAACATTAGCATCCGTCATCCGTCATGTTTGTGTCCGCCCGAGAATGTAAAGTTCAATATTCCCTCTCGCTCCATCAGCTCCAGAGAAAATATCTGATTGGTCAGCTGCTAAAAGCTCCGCTACGTTCACCAGCTTACTGTGTGTCTGCTGTTTGCTGCTGAGCAGGTCGCGTACAGTGGCTTTATCAGAAAACAGCTGCTGCTGATGGAAACAGAGGCTGAAGCAAATATGAGCTAAAAGAGGGTAAAAAGCTCTGTAGAGCTGCAGAGCGGGTGATACTTCAGCACTGCGACTGGCCCATTTCAGCTGCAGGCCCAATACAAACAGCTGCTTTTGGCTTAGAGTGAGTACTCAAATGATCGTTTAGGGAAGAGGAATGATACCTCAGCCTGTTAAAATAGCTGCCTAACACACCCTTATTTATGACTTAAGCCCTGGGCACCTTTGTCTCTGTTCATATTCTTTAGTTTCCTGCTCAGCCATCTTCTTGCTCTGAACTTTCTGTGGGGTTTTTGCTGCACTCACCCCATCCTCCCTTCCTGTTCCTTCTGCCCACCTCTTCATCACCTCTCAGAACCTGTATGGGGGGGTTTGTGCACACACTTGCACACTTACACCTCCATATAGAGGAGTCTTTACAGGCATTCTTAGGCCTGTGTTGTGGTGAGCAGTTGTAGCCATCTTCGAGCTGCTCTGACAACAAGATCAATGAGATCCAGCGAATGTCGCCCAGGATGCCATTTCGGTTTTAACTGGAGACATAAAAGGGGCCCCGGGCTGCCATATTGGCCCAAACACCCCCGCTGCTTACAGAACTGCTTGTTTCCTTGTGAGACCCCGCAGGGAAATCTCCTTTCAAATAGGGAGACACTCATCTCCTGTGAAATATATATGCAGCGTGAGGTAATGAAGAGGTGCATATGCGCAGTGGCATTTCCGCTGCCGTCTGCAGGCCTTCAGCACAAAGTAAAATATACCGTGTGGTGTCAGAGCTTTGATAGAGATGGATGGAGCCATTGTGGCTGTAATAAGATAAAGGTATTGTGTGTTGACATTTCTGTTACGGCCCAAGAGTCACGTCAGGCGAGGCCTCCGAAGTACATAATGAAAAAGAGACTCTGGAGTTGCAGAATGCAAGTCGATTGCATTTTTATACGCCTGTTTTATGCTCTGTAAACTGACAGACAACATACAGCTGGGAGGGTTACAGGTAGTGAAACCAGCCGCAAACAAGCGTCACTAATAACGCGTTTGCTTTCAGTTTCCTTAAACATGATTTGAACTACAGAGAAATGCCTTTTTATGTTAGTATATTAAAGGATTTATGCAAATATTTGTGACTATATGTTGTGTTAAATGTTGTATCCAGAGCCTCAACAGACAGGATCTGGAATCTATCCACTTATCCATGCAGGGTCGCAGGGGGGCTGGACATTGGGCAGGAGATGGGGAAACACTCTGGAAAGGTCACCAGTTCAAACAAACATACACACTCACATTCACACCTAAAGGCAATTTAGAGTCACCAATCAACCTACATGTCTTTGGATGGTGGGAGGAAGCCGGAGAGAACCTACACAGACACGGGGACAACAAGCAAACTGCACGCAGAAAGGTCTGGGACGAGCAAGGTTCGACCCCAGGACCTTCTTGCTGTGCCCGCCCTGCATCGCGACGCCCAGCCTTTCATAACCTATATCATAAAAAAGTTTTGTTTTGGTATCTATCCTGAAACTCAGGTTTCTTGTTGGCAGCATAGAAAACCTTTACCCGATATTAAAGGAAAAGTCTAAGACATATTCGCTTTCTTGCTGAGAGTTATATGAGAAGATCGTTGCAGAGGGGGTTTTGTGCTGTGACTGCAGTATGTCTTGGCCTGGCCAGTCACTTACTCTCCACCGGTTGTTTGGCAACATCACAATGACAGAAAGACTCCAGGAAGTCAGTAGCCCAGCGGAAGTTAATTAGTGAGCTTTAGAGGTGCTTGGACAGAGCCAGGCTATCCCGTTCCCCCCGCTAAGCTACGCTAACTGTCCCCTGGCTGTGGTTTCATATTTAGCAGACGGCAGAAGAGCAGGATTAATCTTCTCATCTAACTCTTGGCAATAAAGCGAACAAGCATTTACCAAAATGTCAAACTATTCCTTTAAAACATTTCTCCGTTATGTTGTTAGTGGTTAATCACTTCAAATGGGTTCTGTTAAGGTCTAAGTTGTTCGGCTTTAAGAAGTTCTTTGCTTATAAAGTGATTGTGCACATTTTGAGACTGGGAAGCATAGCGTACTGGGTCTTGTGAGACCCACCTGAGGTCCACACACCTGAGCCTCAGAGAAAGCAAGTAAGACCTTCTCAGTTGAGATTATTTTGTCAAGCATGAACCTTCCAGCTTCATTCATGTTGTCTGTTTTACTTCAGAAAGTGTGGATTTTATCTACAACATTGGGCTCGATGCAGTCTGTGGAGTTTCTTTAATGTAGCCGAATCGTTTTTGGATTCCAGCAGTGCCCGCTGTCCCGGTGGAAGACAGAAAACCTTGAATGTAATGCTAATTCAGATCCATAGCTCTTCTTCCCTCCTGCCATGATATCCTCTGTCAAACTGAGAGTTTCTGTGCACATCAGAACATCTGAAATGTCCCTGTTGCCTCAGCGTGGATCAGACAGCTTTGAAGAAATTACTTGATGTGAATTTTATTTCATGTTTGTGTTTCAGGTCTTGTGAAGCTGGGCATCCACTGTGTCACGTGTCAGAAAGTTGCCATAAAGATCGTCAACAGAGAAAAGCTCAGCGAGTCTGTCCTTATGAAGGTAAGACAGTTGTGTAATTTGTCTGTGTGCGTCTGAGTGTTTGTGAGCGCCTTGTGGTCTGGGATAAAGACATTTCTGTCCTTGCTCTTGTCTTTTTACCCTAAGGGGAATCCTCAGCTGTTGTTTAGTTTTTTTTATGAATAAAGACCTTGAGATGAATAATCACATTTTTAAGGTAGTATATAACAGATCAGAAATTCTGAAAACAGCTGCTCACTGTAGCTTTTATCAAACAAACAGGAGAAAAAACATTTCAGCAGCGGATGAGTCCACATGTGGTGCTCTAGTGAGTGTTTGGGGCGATGAAGTTCACGGTGATGAAGGAACGTGTCCAGCCAGTCGTCACGTTTGGTCCCTTAGCGTCGTAGTTCAACGCTCTGGGGGAAGTCTTGTACTGTAATTTTTGATCGATAAAAGTAGGTAAGTAAATAAATAAATCAGTGGTTCTCATCAAGGACCCCTAAACTGACAGAAATTAGACCATGGTCCCCCATTTGATAAGATTTTGTCCCATGATCGCCCCTCTGAAAGGACTTTTAGATGTTTTATTACAGAAAGTGTATGAAACCCATGACCAGAATAGTCACTGTCAGATCTTCATTGTGTTACTTGCCCTTTTTACTGGTGAGCCCCTGGAAGCCCCTCAAGGACCCCTGGGGCTCCCCAGACTCCAGGAGCTGGTTGGGTAGGATGGGTATGCCAGAAACTGGACTTTCAACCAGGAGACTGGTGTTTGTTTTCCCGTGTGAAACAAAAAGTCACCATTGATTGATTTTATTTACGTTACGAAGGTCATGTAGTAATTTAACCCAAACCATGATCTTTACCACAAGTTTTATCTAGTAAGACATAGTCTAATTGGACGTTGGATATTTATTATGGCTAACTTGACCGCGGAGCCCTACACGTCCAAAATCATGCTACAGGGTACCAAGAGCAGACCCAGACCCAGTGAGGGCAGGGAAAGAGTTTCCATGTGACCCAGAGCAGCAGTAAAGCTCACTGATGTGTTTTAATAGTTTCTGGACAACAATGGAGGACGGAGACACACAGCGGACTTGTTACGACATACAGTCATTGTTGGTTTTGCTACTTTCATGGGATTTATTGACTTTACAAACGTATAGCACATGTCCACCGTTATCCTAAACAGTATAAAAATGGCAAAAGGTAATTTATTCTCCATTTCTAGCTGCATGTAATTTGACGTATTACTATTACTTTAAACACCATTTGCACAAACATTCATTTCCCACACCCACAAGAGAAGACAATGGACCAGAATGCAATGCAGGTACGGTCTTTAAGTTTCAATTTCTCTGTCAGTGTTTCACCCACACGCTGAGCACAGCTGAATACAGAGCAGGTGTTTGGACATGCAACAGCGGACAGACTCCTGCTCTTTTATTATCACTGTCACCACTTCTCTGTCTGCCTACACCTCGAACAAACAGCTGGATGCAGCTAAATCAGGCAGGATGGGTCACATGTACAGTAGCTTCCTGTGAGGTTGACTCGCATTCAGCAGGTTGGAAGTGTGCGTGGAATTATTCTTCTTCCTCTTGGTCAGCGGAGGACATTTCTAACTTTAATCAAATTCATGTTAATTATTGCTAACTTGACCGTGAAGCCCTACACATTCAAAAACAAGGCTAAAGTATAACCAGGGCATTATAAAGCGATGCCAAGGAGTCCACACATTTTCATTCAGACTGATTTAAATGATTGGCCGTGCTTAATACAGTCTTGCCGACTGTTTTCTTTTTTGAGCCTAACTTTAAACATCCACATAAAAAGGCTGAGTAATTTGCAGGGAGTAGAGTAAATGCTGTAGCAGTTAACAGGGTAATTTTTTCTCATGTTTTACTCCTCCTAATGTTTACAGAAGCCCCGAGCTGCAGGAGAAAGCTTATAAAGTCATTTACCAAAAAATATGACTCCACAGCAAAGCAACACTTGGCAACATTGTCTGATCTAAGTGATAGAAAACTCATTTCCTATACTGTATTTTCCTCTTTTATAACATGTTAAAAGGGCATCCTGCTGATTTGACAGACTTATTATATTCTCTCTATGAGTGTCAGAACATTTCTGTGTGTATAATTAGCAGTGTTTTGGACTGGATTACTGCAGTGCCATGTTTGACATGACAGGCTCATTATCAACTGGTTTATTGAACAGCAAACACACACACACGTGTGTATTTGTGTTTCGTGTTATTTGTGTATTTGAGTTAGTCACTAAGGGTTTCGTGTAGATGGGACCTGCTGTAGTGATCTACTGCTTATTTTCCAATGAGAAGGTCTGTGAGTCACACGTCTTTGGTTATCCGTCTTGGATTTTACGTTTGTGTTGGCAGCTTCGTGTGACCAGGCCGTTTCTGCTTTCATCCTAATGTGAGTGAGGACGCCATCTCTCTCCGTCATGATGCTTTTATCCAAAGCGACTTCCAATTGCTATATATGTCAGCGGTCACGCCTCTAGAGCACCGAGGGGTCTCTCACACCAAAGGCATGTGTCTTATCCACCGCACCATTGCCACCTCTCCTGAGTTTATACGGGCAGCTAATTGGTTGTTAACACTGTTGCTGCTGTCAGCGTGTGTGAGCGTAGAAGGGCGTTTGATTGTCTTGTGCAGTAACGTGACACGAGTCTTGTCAAGATAACTTAAAAGTACGTTTCAAGGCTGTGAAAGATATCATTGGCACCTAAAGGTCAGAGAGGCGAGCTTGTTGCTGAGTGGTTGGTTGGTTGAGTCCCCATACGGGCACGAAAGCTGAGGAGTCTCGTTATCACCACTGTGGTTGAGCAGAGCACAGCTTGGGTCATATTTAGCTATCAGCTTTTAGTTTCCCCCCAAAGGGCAATTTGTTTTTGCAGCAAGAAGATGATAAAATACAAAAACACAGGGAGCACCAAGGTGTGTGTGTGTGTGTGTGTGTGTGTGTAATGATGATGTAAGAATCATCATCACTGTCACCCTCCTCATCAACAAAGAACAACACCATCACTGCTGCTTCTACTCCCTACCCCCCTTTAGGGTTGGGTATCAAGAAGTGATTCCATGTTGGAACTGTTACCAGTATTTCCAAGAACCGAGGACTGGATCAGACCCGTGCGTTTGGATTCTGCTTCTCGGTTTCTGACTTCCTGCATATCTCAGCTCCAGGCTGAACTCCAGTGAGCATCTTACAGCCCATCAAAGTGTCTCTGATCTGCCAGGAGCTGCCACGCCGACCGAAGGTCACCTCATTTGTTCCGTCAACAAAGCGTGAAGAAGAGAGTCCTTCTGGTTCCGGTCCTGGACCGCAGCAAATGCTCCAAAGTTTGGCTCAGCTTCACTAAAAAACTGCAGCAGCTGCAGTAAGGAGGTTTGTGAGGGAGGAAGCGGCTCCAACGTGACGAAGCGTCTCGCTGTGCTAACTTTCGGCTTTTACCCCCAAATAATGTGGTGAGGAAGGTCTGGACGAAGCCTGCGTGTCACATTTCTTTGCCTCAGCGACTGTACTAGTATCAACTTTTTTATTTTACTATATTCTTGTGTCATGACAACAAAACACACTGGTGTATGATCAGTTTCTCACTTTCATCTTCATCAGATAGTCACCCATCAGCCTGTTGTGTTTTAATTAGCTCTGGATGGAGGAGATGGAGGTAGCAGATGCTTCAGTTTGCCTCTCAGCTGAAATAATTGGAGTTTTTTCTCTCTCTTGTACGCTCGCTCTGCTCTCCTCCGCCTGCTGACGCTGCCGAGATCGATGCCAGCCGTTCCCTCCTGTCTGTCTAGGGGGGGTTGCCCCGGCAGTTTCCTCTAATCTTTCCCGCCACGGTCTTATTTTAGAAGATGCTAAGGCCCTGTTGTCATGGCAACAGGCTGCTATTGGCTTGAGTTATGGCCGTGTTGTTCTCACACAATGAAGTCTAACCACACACCTAAAAATATAAATATATTTAAAAAAAAAAAAAAACAGAAAGAGGGGATTTGGTGGAGTTGCATGTTTAAAACATGACGTTCACCCGACGCTGCTCCCCCCTGCTTCAGTTGGCATTTTGAAGAGACCCCATTTTGTTTGACATTTTCACAGAACTGCAGGTTTACTTTTTCTGTTTCTTTCTTTTCTTTTTTGGTGCTTTTATCCTGAACTTTGTGTAGCGTTGGGCGTTGTGTACTCTTTTGAGGTTTTGCATATGAATGAATCTTCTGTTCACAATACAAGACACATTTACATTTCCCTTGTTCATTGTTGCACATGCAACCTTTTAAAGGAAGAACCCAAATCATTTCCATATAAATACATTCCTTTATCCCTGAGTGGTGCAGTTTATATAGAGTTCTTGAAGCTTTTCCATTGGCTGCTCTAAACTATCATTGTCATGTTTCTGGTTTGCTTTTGAAAGAAAGACTAGATGATGCATTTGTTCAATGCATTTGAACTTCACTAAAACAACTTGTGTTTACATCTACCTGACAAAGACCATGTGAATTATGACTCTTGAGGCGTTATATACACATAGTGTGAGGGCAACCTCATTTCCGGACAAGAATGTCAAGCGTGCACAATTCTGCCAAACCCTGTATGACATGCAGTGAGAACAAAGACTGAATTTCTTCCCCCATGGATCCTTCAAGGCCAGTATGAACAAGAGGAGCAGTAAGCCTTTCTTTGTGGAAATGTGCAGACCCTAAATAAGATTTTGAACCTGAAAATGAGCACAATGGCACCTCTTTAAGGTCAGAAAAACATTATCATATAAATCATTTTTGTTGATAGGGGCTCCAGATTAAAAAAAATTGCGGGCCAAATAGTTCCTCATTTAAAGAGATGGTAACTGAGTAGTGGCAGTACTAAGACCCCCTCTACACCTGCCATTACAACACATCTCTTTTTAACCTTATTCCTTTTACACCTGGTATTAATATACATCTCCAGTTTCCACATTTAGATCCGAATGTTCTGTCCAGCTCAAACAACCGAACGTCACATCCTCCTCTTGTTTGC